TTCTTGAGATTCTTTACAATTATCGGCAGACTGAGCTGAAAAATCATCACTGCTTTGTGCGTTCATTAAAATGAGATTTGGTATATTACCGGCAACCACAGATGTCCCGGAGTAATCACTCGACATTTGAGCAATAGAATGAAAAGCAGACATAGTTTCTCCCGTACATAAATTTACTGCTGAAAGTTTCGAAGACTGAGATTGTTCATTTGGCTTTTCACCGATGTGCGGGGGATTAGCATCACTGATAAATAAAGGGTGTGAATTGTAGGGAATACCAAAGCTTGGATTACAAGAGAATGAATTTGTGTAGTTCATCAGACCCTTAGTAGCAACATCCGAATTACAAACTGAGCCTAATTTCGAAGCACAATTTTCAGCGTAAAATCTGTCGACCCAAGGCCAATAAACGTTATGAGTTTGCGAATAAAACGATGGCCCTTTAGCACAAGCAATGACGCTCTCAGAATTCTGAGAATTATCTTGATATGATGAGATACAGTCTATCACAGAATTTTGAGACCTGGCATTATTAAAATCGCTTGTTGTGTAATGTTGAGGATGTGTGTTCATTAAGTTGTACGCAAATTCAGGAAAATTTGAATTATACGACTCTTTGGATTCGTCTTCTTTGACACGATAATTGTTTAAACACGGCTGTGGCTGTAAAAGTTGTTTGTTTGTAGAAGTAGGAATGTTTCCACTGTCTACGTAACCATCCAATGCATTTTGTTTATCACTTGATAGATGACCTGTTCTTCTGCTAACTGACTTTTGAATGTTATCACACTGACTAACCCAAAATGTATCAGGATCACTTTTGAAACTTCTTTGATTATCATTCTTCCTTGTTATATCTGGGGTTGATATTGTGTCACACTGGTAGTTAAAGATTTTGGTGAATTCACTTGCAACTGTTGGTGTACAGTTGTGATTGATAACAGTAGTAATCATATTAGAAACAGGGATGTAACTGCAAGAATTCACACCATGACTAACTATGGATGCTATTGCGTTGACTGCCTCGTTGTTGTCACTTGTAAATTCTACATAACGATAAGGGTTGTTTGTTAAATTCTCTGGCATATATGGAATCGTATAAATCGAATGGCATGCATTAACGCAAAACTGAGTTTCACTTTCTTCAGGTTTAGTAATTGCATCTTCAGTTGATATGTAACTATAGTTACTTCAAAGTTTATAAGAAAGGAATTAAGAAGTAAAGTTAAACTCTACAAATATACTCACATAATACAAAACGTGCATAATAGTATGTAGGGATCTACAGAGAATACTAAGTCGTATTGATCCGCATAAAAAAGTTTAAAATATTTGATCAATGTATATTGTAAGGAAAGTTAATAATTATTCATGCTGACGACATAGAATCACTTGTGGCAAACGATAGGACTTCATTTACGTAAGTTATCGGGATTAATTAATTAATTTTTTCTTCATGCAGCTTCACAGCATGATAGTTAAAAAGTTTATATATTAGCAATATGGAATATTATGTCCAACAAGTTTTCTTGTCACGACATTGAATATTATACTCATCATTAATAATAATAAAAAGTCGAAACACTTAAGACGGGTATACACCCCTATAATTCATCTACACAGTAAACTCAATTTTTATTGTCATTATCAATATTTAACATGATATAAAGTGTGTGAATGTTAAATTCTATCAACCGAGTAACAGTCACATTAACTGTGTGGTTAATGGTGGAGAATATTTTGTTTCATTTAAAATCTATGGACTTAAATTTCTTCTGAACTTATGAAGCAAAGATTTAGACTAGGCAGTAATTTATCCAAACATTTTATGTTCCAAGTACACTTTACTACGTATCTTAAAATAATGACCTTGACCAACTTACCAATAGGAACTGTAGCCACTTTCATTGACTGACGACTCCAAATTATTTCTAGGGTCTTCTGCCACAATTTTATTTGATCGGTTATCATATAGATCGGAGTAATGTTGCACTCCTGTCGGTGTTCCTATAGTATTTTCATAGCTTAATTCTGTTGGACTAGATCCGACAGTATGTTCATTTGATTGAGAGTCCGAAACTGAGGAGTTAGATGTACAATCTAGGTCCATTAATAAAAGCAATTTAGCTAAATCTGAAGACCATAAAGTGACTTATAAATAATAAACATGACAATTTTATTGGTCTGACATATTAATCATTGGTCGATCATTTTATCGGATGGGGAGGGGAGACAACAAAATCTATAGGCACACTTTGAATGAATTCTTATCGATTGAATGACCTATCCAAATAATCCCCGAAAAACGCACCAATCAACGTTTAGTATAATAAACACGCAAATGTGATGCTGGACTCAGTTTAAGTGGCTAAATTATTTGGTTGCCTGATGTTTGTAAGTAATAGGTTAAAAATACTCTGGGATAAACAAAATTATAATCAGTTATATCTTTAACTTCAGGAGAGACTTATCGATTTTTTATGGTTTAATTAAAATTCGGTTCACCAATCAAAAAGTCAGCTCTGCATATTTGTTCTTAAACCGAAGCATCGAACATAAGATGGATACTTTTTGTTACTTGAAAAGCAGAAAAATCTGATGATCTATATCAGCTGTTTTGAGACTCCTCAGTAGTATTCACACATGAGATGGAAATCTTAGTTTAAGGTCTTTTTAGATATTTAGTAGCTTATATTAAACCAAATTAGCATGAATAATAATAATTTTTTTAAGCAAAAGCATGGAAATTTTCGGCATCTCATAGCTATTATATCAACGGTTAAAACGATATCTCTAACAACATTTTGTTTCTTTGTCAGTAAAAAAATTAGTTGACATAATACTTTCTTAGTCAGTATCCATCAATTAGGTAAGTATATGAAGAAGAATTCCCATATCAACAAACAGTAACGATCAATATATTTAGTTTATTCTCTTTTAGTAATGCTCATAAATATTCGTCATCGACTCTACACAACATCTTGTTACATTAGTAATTAATTTCTCAACGAACATTAAAACATTTAGCCACTGAGTAGAAGTCTATTAAGAAACATGCACTTCGTCAAGTTTACGACATAGTATACAATTCTTGGTAGTTCTATATGATGTACAGTAAAAAAGAAAGGAAATGTACTAGAAGTGTTCACTAACGTAGCTCATTAATATATATAGTAAACAAAATGGCATCGTAATTACTTTTCATAAATGCTATGAGAAGTAAGGCTTCAATCGAATGACAATTTCCGTATATATAAGTATAAATACACATAAATAGTTTGATTATATCCACTTATGACTGTTCAATGAGTTATCCATGAAAAACGGGTCGTATGTACAATGTCCTGTGTTTAGTGGATTTATAATAATTATGCTACCAACTAGTAAATATTATGAATATAAAACTATGAATGCAATTTTTAAATAATTCAGTAAAAGATTCAACAACTTCGTTTCTCATCAGTCAATCAATAATAACAACACCCATAAACAGTAACAACTGACTGTGAATTCAGTTGGAAATTGCAATCTGTTTGATGTGAAGGATAATAGTAAATTTGAACTGTATGTTGATAAAAATTAACGAATATCAAGATACTTTGTTAGTTTAACAATATGAATTGTTTATGAAATAACTCTGCAACTTATATCAAACTTTAGGTGTTGTGTATTACTCTCATGATGAACTATAGACACTTAGTTGTTCTTAAACTAATTGTTACCAAAAATACATAAAAATGCTCGGCTAAACTAGTAATTCGGAAGAGTTTGGTATGAAAGTGACCCATGTTTAGATTCATATTGCCTTCAATAGGTAAATACATCATCTGTTCCATAAAAAACTTTAAGAGGGCTGTATCCTTTCATGACGAAATCTAAAAAAAATATTTCACAAAATCCAGAAATGGTAATAACTGTATAGAAATTAAATGTTCAAGAAAATAATAGTTTTCAACCTGATCAAGTGATTCAGTGATGGCTATAAAGACTACAAAGATGATCTTAATGCAGGACGAACATTGATGAAAACACTAAACTTGATAAGCTTTTCGTACTTTTCGATTATTGATTAACTGCTCGGACAATTGTTGGTGAATTGAATTTAGAATGTCTGGCTGTGTAAATAGTAAACAATAAAACACGATTTGATAGTATATTTTGAACAGCTTGACTTCTTAAGACTTCTACAGATACTTTAAACAACAGAAACAGAAAAGAAACAAGTATGTAGACACACATGAATGTTACATTAACTGGAATAGGAATGATGTACTCTATATGTTATAACAGAAATCTCTAATGACCTAAGTTAACCTATTAATTAAAGAAATCTATTATGTAAAATACCAATCCAATAACAATCCCATCTATTCTAAACCTGTCATCAAATTACCGATTGACACGGTTTAGTTTACCTATTATTATTGATCACATATTTCCTATTACAAGTTATATTTTAGGTCATGTAACTTGGCAATAATAATTCATAATTCAGTTTAATAAAAATAACAAATATTAAGCAAATAAAATTATATGATAGTTTTTCGTATTAGACAATTGTTTTATAAATATTATCAATACTATTATAGTTTAGTTGTATGATAGAATAAAATTGTCCAGTCTAACCAATTAACTCGAACTACTGCCCTCAATTCATGTATTAATTATTCTAAATTTATTTACATATGCCATTGGTACCACTAAATAAATAATTTCATTTTATAAAACCAATTAAATTACTTAAAATTGTTTATGTTATTAATATATCAATATAATAGTATACATAATAATGTTTAATCATTGATATATATATATATATATATATATATATATATATATATATATATATATATATATATATATATATATATATATATTAAATTCCAAGGTAAAACAATAATTTAATATTTAGATTTAACTTTATAACTAGTTAACACTAACTACATTTATCTAAGCAATTGTTTAAAGAAATTTCATTTAATACACATTATTCAATTCGTATGAAGATCATGATGTGGATGATAGTATTTACTACTTGGATTATTACTGTGTATGGTGAGTGAAACTTTAAATATTATGGTGTAATGTGTTTCATGTTAATTTGAAAGTAACCTTTTTGAACGGTTCATAAATTGATGACCATAAATGAGCAACAAGTAAACAATTGTTATTCAATATGATGTATTTTATATAAGAACATTTGATTCAACACTGAACTCCTGAGGCGTTTTCTCATTTTCATTAAACTTTAGAGTTGTAAGGTAAAAGGTTTCGTTTGAATAGATGGAATCAGTTTAAACTTAAATAAATGGTGCTTTCTTTACTGTGGAGATAAAGTGTTATTCAGATATGAAATGGATTCTCTATTTAGATGTCGAAGAAAACTAACGTCTGCTTCAATCCCAATACGATCCCATAACTTTTAATATTTTTATTATTTATATTATGTAATACACTAATATATATCAATATAACTAAACTTATGAAAGAGGGATGAAAATATCTAATTTATTAAACTCCTCATTAACAGTGACGTTAACGGTATATTTTAGTAATATACCTAGAGAAAACTGCATGTAACTTTCATATCACGAAAACTTGAAATGAAGGTAGCACATATTTACCACGAACAAAGTTGTTTAAGATACTTGAAACAACTACGTCATATGTAGACAGAATTTTTGTGCCAGCCTGGTTAGAAAGTAGGCTTTGTTTGTTGGAAAATGGTAATTCATCTGCATTTTTAAATAGTTAACTGCTTTTCGTCAGCTATTTACATCAGCTGTACAATTAGACAAGTTCATTACTGAATTTTCGAACACTGTCGTACAAAACTAAGGGCAGAAAAAATTAAGGATGAGTATGAAGACTATACTTTTATACTTGACCGATACAGGACATTAAGAAAATTTGGATAAAGCTGTTAAAATGGCAGCAATTTTAGACAATAAACATACATATTGCCTTAAATAAGTAAATACGAATCATCTGTTTAGTGGTTCAAAAGCATCGGAGATTTACCACTTGTTACTTTAAAAAAGTCCCAAAGAATATATAAACATTCAATATATTCACTTAATAGTCTTTAAAGTTATTTCTATATTTACATATATGATATGGCAACCAGTGTAGGGAGTATCGTTTAAATGTCGCGTATTTTAATTTACCATCACTTTTGTTATACTACATCAATAAAATCACTTTTCCTTCGTATTTTCAGCCCCAATTCAAATTCGCGGTGAAGTTCAAGACCCGACTGCTTTAGATGACCAAGTGGAAAGTGGATTAAATGATCAAATTCTAACTGAGTATGAGGCTTTTTATATTTATGACCATATCGTAAGTGCGCCAGTTTTGACAGAGTTCTCTGATTTTTATTTTCCTAATTGTGTTCATTGTCGATGCAGAAAAACTTGTTATTCTTGGTGTCACCAATGTCATTACGATAATTTATAATCTACTAATTAATAGGTCTTTCTTATTAACCGAGAATAAAGTTTTATCATAATGTAATCAATAATGGAAATCAAATTCGAATTTTCGACGATTTCTTTCGCTAATAATAATAGAAATAACAACGCATTATTATACAAACATCTCTCGAAGTTTTATTTGAACAAGTTGTTACTTGTAGTTGATTCATCCTATGAATTATTGTCAGTAGATGAAGGGGAGACTTTCTAAATGCTTATTATAGGGGGTAGGGAATATCAACGGCTTTATATCTGAATGGGTTTTGTGGAGATTTTAGAAATTTCACAGATTGAAATCATGTCTGCAATTTAATAACCTTACTAATATTTCTTATCTATCAGTGTGCAAAATTTTCTGATCTATCGTAATTCTTTTCTTAAATAAAATCATTTGGTTTAACTTACAATATGAAGCATATATACACATAGTTTATTGATATTGGTTTATTTTATAACCATATAAATGAATAGTATGTTAATTTTTTTATCAGTTGAATGTCACAAATCTCACTATAGATATTCCTCATCGGACTAGAGAAGTCATAGTGATTACTTGAAAAATAAATAGATACAATTATGATTAGGCTTGTATGTGAACTTTTTAATCTTCCTCTGATTATTATGTTAATGCATACAGTTCACTGTATTTGTTACATCAAATGTCTGTGTCATAAACAATCAGTTGGCACTTAGTTCTCTTAAATATTACCGAAATGTAACTAACTACTTAATAGATTATATTTTTCAATGATTCAGATACTAATCTTACACACTGATTTGTTCTCAGAAAGAATTGAAATGTGATTAATTTAAGTATGGTAAATATTATTAGTTTTAAGATTAGATCTGAAGGTAATTTATGTAAAATATCGTTTTCAGTTACAAATAACAATTATTCTGGTTCATTTATATTCTGCTTCTTTAAGATAGATATATCACTAAGGTATTTGTTGTATTCCAGTAAAAAACCTGATGAGGAGATTTAACAATAAAGTGAATGATTTCTCCCTGTCTACTTGATTTATGGGATAAAATATTATGCGTCTAAAACTATTTATCTAGTATTTTTGGTGTATAGACAAGATTAGTACTATCAACCAAATATCTATTAAATTCAAAGTATGCTTAATTCTGTTTATTATCTCATCGTAATGCAAAAACTGAAGTTTAATGAAATAACCGAAAGTAAAGTGATATTAAAGAAAATTCAGTCATTCATTAATCGCTTCCACTAATATTAACATTCAACAGTAAGTTTAGATCAAATGAATTCAAGTATCTTTTATTCGTTCACAATTCAACATGAACACTGACGCTAATACTCCAGATGAGATATTGTACTAACCATCATGTAGCATATAGACTGTTTAACAGTTTGTCTTGTACAATTCACCAGGTATGTGCCATGATCTTCAGGAATTGATATTTTGTGGGACAAATGTCTTCGAGGATGTAGATTGCAAATAAAAATTAAAAGCACTTACGTTATTAGCTGAAGTAGGATTGCTCTGAAAGGATGCTTGGAAGAATACATTGGTAATTTTATACCGAATGTATGTTTTAAGCTTTGTAAACAGTCTAGTTTAGAAAAAAAAAGTGACAATTTTTAAGCTGAATAAGAAAAATTACAACTAAGCAATTTAAACCAAATTAATTTTAGCAGCAACAACAAAATTGGGATTCATCTTTTCAATAATTGAGTCGCAAATAAGATATGCACGGTTTAACTAATACATCTATTTCACTGGTTGAAATCGTGAGTCATTTGAAGCTAGACCACCATGGAAAACCTGGAAGCACTGGACGGCCGTTTCGTCCTGGTATGGGACTCCTCAACAGTACGCATCCACAATCCTGTACCTCGCGAGATTCAAACCCAGGACCTACTGGTTTTACGCGCTAGCGCTTAACCATTAGACCACTAAGCTGGCATCCAACAGTGTTAATGTCTAACTTCAACCAATCCACGAAGTTGCGTCACCGTACACCATTGTCTTCAGTGAGTTTCCATCTCACAACAGACCTGGTTGAACTCCACTGGTAACGACTTCTCATCAGGATGAAACGGCCGTCCAGTGCTTTCAGGTTTTCCATAGTGGTCTAGCTTCAATTGACTCATGATTTCAATCAGTGAAATTTCTAAAAATCTCCACAAAACCCATTCTGATAATAATACATCTATATTATTTTTACTGTTTACATATTAATCACGTGTGAATTCAACTCGAATTCCTATAATAAGATGAAAAGTAAATTCTTTTCTTTTCTTTTTTTTGATTATCACTCATATTTAAGCATAATTATCAAAAAATATTTGTCTTCAAATAATCAATATTTTGCATCATTCAGAATATAGTAGATCTATATAAATAAATGTTAACACATCTATTTAAAGGTTTATTTTGTGTGTGTGTGTGTTCAGTTTTAAATTTTAAAATTTTAAATTTAAATTTTAAATTTTAAGCGATATTATGCACTCGGACATTGAATATATATATATTTTTAATGATAAGTGGAGAAGATGAGAAATAAAAATCTCTAGTCGTAATTTATAAGGGCGGCCTACTTGAGTATCTGGGCTACCTGTTCCTGCCATGTTATCTATTTTTGTTTGTTTTAATGTATTATTATGTTTATTAATCGCATAACCTATTCTGCTGCGTTTCTGAAAAGTGTACAACCTTTCATTGTCAAAGATACAAAAAGCCCAATAAGAGACAATGTGTTTGCTGGCAATATACAACGAAAAGAATGTACATTATTCAGTTGTTCATTTAGTGAACTGCTAACATCTAACTGGTGATTACTCAATATTTATCGCCAGGACCGACCAAGGAGAAAGAAACGGAAACTTGTTGAAATACTTTACGCTGAGAATTCTATATTGTAACAAAATTATAAGATTGAATAAAGCTGGTAATAATAGTAATAATAATAATAAAATAGTTTACTTGTAAGCTATCATTATAATATTATAAAATCAATGATAATGCAATCCTCAGTAACTGTATTTACAGTGAATAGATAGAATTGAAAATGACTACAAAAGAATTATTATTTAGAAAAACATGATCAGTTTGCACAGAAGATTATTGATCTAATACACCTTAAAACAGTAAATTGAATGAATAAATATTGATTTAAAATTCTATTATTTGGGGAAAAATTGACAGTTGATAGATTCAGTTAGTTTACTCAAGAAATAACATTTTTTTAAAAAAGAGTGATAAGAAGTATACATGGTGATCCATTGTTGATGTGTAATGGAGTAGTCGTCAAATGATTTATGATAATGGTCTTTAAGGTAATCTCATGTTTAATAGTCACATAACATACGACGTTTTCTCATTCATTTCTAACAGAATTCTAATTGTATAGAGCATGACACAGACAACTACTTAATAAGTGAGATTTTGAAGTTTCAGGATAATTTTTATTCGTAATTTGCCTAATCATATACATAATGTCAGAAGAAAAGTTACTATTTCTATGACTTCGGGTGGTTATTTTTTTGAATAAATTACACGTATAACAATGGCTGTAAAGAAAGCAACCGAAACACACTAGTGAACGACTTACGACCAACCAATAGAAAGTAATCCAAGGTAATTGGAGTAGAAGTTACTATTTATTTACCCGATTTCCTTTTTTATTTTCATTAATACACTAGCTATATAATCAGCTTAAATGATAACCTGATTCACAAGTCTCGATCGTTTAGCTACTATGATATTTTAAGCCAAATCGAGAAAATTAATTTACAGTAAAATAGGTTAGATTCAAATATGAAACCATAGATGGTGTATATACTCAACATTTAAAACCGGGTATAATGAACATCAAGCTCACTGGCTAGAAACCTTCGGAATAAGTAATATGCAATTCAGAAGGAGAATACTTTAATTTTTAAACAATAAACATTAAACATCACTCTGATCTCTGTGTAGAAAAAGAGTTGGTGATCACTCTCTGTATATGTGTTGACTGGTAACTTCACTTTAATGTTATTTTAATTGCACTATTCTTTATTAACGATTGTTCACAGATTTTAACGCAGTAGTTAAATGTCGGTCAAAAGTGTTTCCATCTGTTATTTTTACATAACCAACTAGTTAAAAATTATGATAAATTGGGGTGTCTTTACAACTCTTGTAATTTACATATTATAAGGTATACCTTAGTTTTACTTTCTAAAGTTTTCAATTACATCACTTGAATTGCTGTCGTTCACAATGATAATATGTTCCTTTAAATTATTCCAAATAAGTATTGCGATTCCAATATGTTCTTATTTATAGTTGATTGATCATAAAATAAAACGAACTTACAATATTAGTTTCAGTAAATTCTGCTATCCTTACTTCGTTTGCTTTAATTATAAGGACTGATAACTGTATAGTGATAGCTAGACTGGAATTACTCTGTTAAACACAAACAAACTCTCGAAACAGACACTTTTTGATGTATTGTAATGGTCCATTCAGTCTAGTCAATCTATTTGCAATCTCATCTGAGGCATTTCAAGACTCTTATGTCACATGTAACCAAGTAATGACTATTTTATGATTAAAAATGTTAAGAATCCTGACCATAACTCCTACCTTGACATGGTGGCCGGGTTTGTATGTTGCATTGATCCGGTAGAGCTACATTGGTCGCAATATATTACTCACGCCAGGCAAGTTATTAGGATAGTGATAAAACTGAAAGCAACAAAATCATGTTTCGAGGGCGGAATCATTCCACCGACTGTATAAAAGCCTGGTATCAGTAAGCAGCCAGTGTCTGCGACCATTTTGTTCTACCACAAGACAAAGGGGCTCGGTTCAAAAATAAATTATCTCAACTTATCAGAAAGATTGCCATCGCTAACTGTAAGGCCTCAAAAGTAATGAGTTAATTTGTCTAAAACTTATCACAAAAAATTACTGTATGTGACCACCCCCAAGCGCTTATCTCTCAAGCACCACAGTCGTGCTCCCGGGGTGTTAAGACCACTCCTAAACCAGTTTCTGCTGAAGATGCTTCAAGAAGAAGAACACCATTGCGCGGGCAAACTAGATGTGACGACTACCCTAGTATGTGCAACAACACTTGAAAATTTTTTCATTATTCAGTTAGGCTATTTGTAGATTGAATTCCTTTCGCAACTACCGGTTGTAACATTGGTAATATCTATCAGTCATTTTCTTCGTGTTAGCATAAAAATAGGGATCATAATTTATTTAGATTTTCAAGTATTTTATTGATTTTGTGTTCTCTTAGCTAGATGATTTGATTGTAAAACTTTCATTATTGTTCAAGACAATATCACTAGCACTTACTGCTAACTGAAGCACCGAACTTAGCTATAAATAATCTCTACTACTTCTATTTTATATATGTTTTATGCAATTCGTGAGAAATTTTGAGAGAATGGAGGAAGTCATGTTCTCTAGAGGTTTCTAGTTGAAAACAGCTCAGTGAAATTATTCAGCGGAAACATGATGTATTAATCTAATTCTGTTCACACATCCCCATGTAATTATACATGGGCGATTTCGTTCACTTTGATTTCTAGATAAAAACTTATAAAACGTCATTAATCTACTTTCCCATCTTTTCACTCCAATTGTAGGCGTCTTATCTATCTAGACCAGAGGTTGGATTGTCAGGTTTCGCGAAATTTTTCCGTGAAAGTGCAAATGAAGAATTGGAGCATGCACGTAAATTCAGTGAATTTGTCAATAAACGAAACTCAAAGGTTGTCCTGAAAAATATTTTAGTGAGTTTGACAAAATATTTTAACGCTATATGTATTATGTTGAAATAAAAAAGTACCGTTTCTTATCTAAACCAAAATAATGTCCACTTTATCAATATGAAACCTAAACAAGAATAAAATGAACTTGGGTGATGCAGGTCATTATAATAGGGCTCGATATTTGTTCGGATCAATATATGTAATATTGGGAAAATCATTGTATTCGATAAATTTATGTTTGTAGGGGGTATCAATGTAGGTGTGAGAAAAGTTATAATGATGCACTAAAATTTAAATCTAAGAGAACGATTTCAAGTCGAAAATAAAAAAAACTGGTGAATAGTAATCACATTAGGTAGACCGAATGACATTTGTCATCAATTTGAGGGGTGAGAGGATTCTAAATAAATGCACATTACTGTGATTGCAAAAGTTTATCTGCCTCGAACCAGAATGAATAACACTCACGAAATTTAGTATCAGGTTATAGCAATGGTGATAACAAATTGCACACAAAACCATGAAAATAAACATTTGACCAAATGAACTTTATTCATAACTGGAATATATAAAAGATCGTTCAGTTGCCATGCCACATTACGTTCCCCACATCTTGTACATCAATGATTTTTTCTTATTATTTGTGATTCACGTCTTGTAGAAAAAGTTTCTTACAACTTTTCACTGCTCGGATTAAATTAATTTAAGGAGAAAGGTTTATAAATTAAAGGATGATGTTATATCCTACGTCGTTAAACACCGATAAATGTTGATAGTATTATTAATCTAATTTGAAAATGATTACACCAACGCTTATAGATAATTTACCATCCGTTTTTTCACGTAATTTCTCAGATTTCATTTAATGATCTAGGTTCTTCCTAGATAGATATATGAAAATAAAGAGTACACATTATAAAACTATATCATTATATCAAACCACGATATTAATGTAGAACTTAAAATGAAGTTATGTTGGTTCCAATTACAATTTAAACTGTTGTTTGACTTCGATCATCATGATCCAGCATAAATGTCTAACCCTTCAGAGTGTTTCACTTTGGTTCACTACATCAAGAGGAAGTTAACAGAATCTTTAGATCAATATTTTTTAGCTTTATTGGTTCTGGTTGAGTTAATTTTGAGAAAACCATTGTTTTCTATAAATATAGCGATGAGCGAGAGTAGTGATAATATCAATCCATATCAATTGGGTATAAAATCTCGGTCTCATCATAAAAATAATTCATTTTTTTTAGTGATCTTGAATTTACTGAGTAGTATGGTGTGCAAATTGAAGATAATAATTTCGAGTGTTAACTATTTGATAAACGTGCTTTACGAACCGTAAATTATTATTTGGTTAAATAATTGACTTCAAGAAATTCATAAAAACCAAGTCAAATTAGAATAAAATTTATATCACATCAATATGTGATCATTCTATTCAGTTAGAGATAGTTAGTTAGATTTATAAATGCATCAGATATCTTTCAGATGATTTTATTTAGTTATTTAAAACACTTCATATGACAGTACATAATAGATGGAATGTAGCTTATAGTGGAGACCAGGACACGTGTTTCACCCTACTTTTTTTGTCTAAACACATTAACAAAAAAGGAGTGTTGTAAATAATTTGAAAGGAAATCTGAATATCATTAAAATGGGTTCCCCAATTAGAAAAGTATGCTGTTGCTAACTTATTATATGCTATCATAAGTACATAAAGTTTTAGCTGGATGTGAATATGTTCACTCAATTTTATTCTTTGTTACTTAAATAAATTTCAATATAAAAGCAAAAGAATCATGTTATACATTCATGGAGTTAAATCATCTATGGATAATGTTTGATATTCAAAAGGTTGTACAGAAGCAAAGTACTAGACAAGAGTGCTTACAAATCTGCTGTATGATTAGGTATTACAGTTTTTGATAGTAAAATACGAAAACCAAATATATTTAGTCACTGGCCTCTCTTTCGAGTACTGTGGGATCTTGGGATTATAATAATAACTTTGTATTTCGAGTGATAATAGATTCAATTGTCTACATATGTAAAAAAATGTACAATGCTGCATTAACAACTGTCGACCTTAATTTTGTCTGCCAGTTAAATCTAGAAGCATAGTAGAACTTATAAATAGAACTGATCAATAAGGTCAGTGATTATTATCGCAGTTTGTAGAGGAAATTGTTGACTTCTTGCTTGAGATTCAAATGAAGATTAATTAGTTATTCAAATAGTAAATTTTAGCTGAGAAAATCAGCCGAGACCTCCAGAAATAGAAATTTCCGTGTGATTTTATACTTTACTAATATCATATCCTAACGAACTGACATTTATAAACTCATAAATATTACTTGATCTGGCTAAAAAGGCAAACAATTTACTATATTTGACTGTTTGATTTTTGTTATACTAGAATATACACTTTACATGTAACAACTGGTAGATCATAGAAATTATGTAACATAAAATTAAGCAGAACTGAATGCATAGATGAATTAATTCCTCCATCTTATCCTAATTGATGGAAGATTTAATTTATCATTGCATTTATTCCCATCAAAAAATTAGTTTCGGATAGACCATTTTCCCATTTATGAACACTTGCATGACACTAAAAAACGCTTTTCAACACAATACATATGATATCAAGTCTTTTAAACTAGTGATGACGTAGCGACTTGTTTGGTTGAATTCGATCGGCAATTAAAGTAATAAACAAACATAACAATAGTCATTGAATAATTCTTTCTGGTTAGCGTTTTTTAGCGAGTTAGTTTTCTACGGGATGGGGACGCTAACCCCATGCCCAACCCTCCTCCTTTATCCGGGCTTGGGACCGGAAGTAGCCCCAGGAGGGACTCCAGGCGGACAGCATCATTGATGAACAGGCTGGACCTGATGCAGATGTTAAGGCGCGGGTCGGCAAAGCAAGAGCAGCATATTTACAACTGAGGAACATCTGGAACACAAAGCAACTGTCAACCAACACCAAGATCAGGATTTTCAATACAAATGTCAAGACAGTTCTACTGTATGGGGCGGAAACCTGGAGAACTACGAAAGCCATCATCCAGAAGATACAGGTGTTTATTAATAGTTGTCTACGCAAAATACTTCAGATCCGTTGGCCGGACACTATTAGCAACAACGTACTGTGGGAGAGAACAAACCAGATCCCAGCGGAGGAAGAAATCAGGAAGAAGCGCTGGAAGTGGATAGGACACACATTGAGGAAAGCATCCAACTGCGTCACAAGACAAGCCCTCACATGGAATCCTCAAGGCCAAAGGAAAAGAGGAAGACCAAAGAACACATTACGCCGAGAAATGGAAATAGACATGAAAAAGATGAACAAGAATTGGATGAAATTAGAAAAGGAGGCCCAGGACAGAGTGTGTTGGAGAATGCTGGTCATCGGCCTATGCTCCATTGGGAGTAACAGGCGTAAGGCACAACAATAGTCATTACTCATTAATCAGTCAGTTGTAAACTTCTTAGTCCCGTAAGTTGTTCACAGACCCGAAAGCTCAAAGGCGAATTCATAGACTGCAAATTTGGGTGACTTATATTTGAGTTTCACAGGAAGCATCAATTCCCCAAAATTACGAATTCGTCTTTCTGAAGAGTACCAGCCAGTATAAAATCTAGTTCCAGAGTTTCCTGTCGACTACTTCCAACTGCCTAACATTTAGTTCCCTTTATTTATTTCCCTTCCTTACGTATTGGTTCCACGGTATAATAAATGTGGGTAGTGACACATCACCTTGAAACAGCTATGAGATTACTTTCGATAAGTGATAAGTCATATAATTATGTGTATCCTATTTGTATTAATCCGTATAATATCTAAAACGTGCTACGTAAATGAGTTGAAACTTCCAAACTAAGTTTTCGATGTGTTTAGTTACTACCATTTTATTTCGACTTTTCGATTTTCATCTATGTTAATGTTGATTTTGTTGCTTTTAAGATTGACGTATTCCTTTACAGTGTCCCAAATGTTTTGTAACTATTTGATTAAAACTTCCGGAAACAATATCTTCCCTGTCATAACATTTTAAATGATTAGTTTAGGATGAGATATCTTCTTGGTTCTCGAAATAACAAGTTTACATGGATGCAAATATTATAACGAACATATTAAAATTACTAAAAATTTGTAAAAAGTGGGTTAATGATATATTACATTAGCGTATCGTTTGCTTGACATCATAATACGGAATGAAAGCATAAGTACAACAATGTAAAGTTTATAACTTTTAATTGCATGTTACCAATAAACAAGCTTTTTATGTCATTATTATTAAGAGGTTCCTGAATAAGATTACATAGATTTCTGATATTCAGACACGATGATGAAATGTCCACAAATCAATTGCAGTGACTCAGTTCCATCCTTTCTCTATGGTCCTCAGAATTCTGAATTTAGCATCTCTCTATTTTTAATGTTATTTGAGCTCACTTGCTCATTATTAACCATATTTCCTTTCTGTAATATTCGACACTATTATCTCTATTTCGCTTCTCATCTTGTTAATCTCTGTTGGATATGTTTCTTTAAAGTATAGAGAATTGAAACGATACCTTATAGTTTCCTGCTTCACACTTGGTAGTGACTGACTATATAGTAGATAGAAAGCGCAAAACGAGTTTCATGACAAACACATTAAGTTTGGTAATGCTAAATCAGAAAAAAACTTGATTGACTAGACAATCTCACATACTATGAAATGAGGTATCACTGTAAATCTCTAAAGAACAATATAAAAATATTAATAGCTAGTTATACAAGCTAAACATAATCTTCATTAGAGACGACTAGTGGTTGGAGAACCATCTAAAATAGTTAGCGCTCAAAAGTTGAACTAACTACCCTGAGACTCCTTGAAAATGTACACCAAAAAGTTCACATGAGACCTAACCGAAAATAATTGTGTATTATAGCGAGTACAACATCTATGATTGACTTATACAGTGGTAACCAATGGTTTTATTACTGTAAATGC